TATATATATACTTTCTGTATCACTTAAATCAACAGAGCCAAGCTAAACGTATGTTTACTCCTTTGTTTATAAAGTGTTTTTAAATTAGCTAAAAAAAATCACCACGTTTTTTGCTTTGTAGACCGGAAGTGACTGTCTCCATAGCAACATGTCTATAGTGAACATGGAGTTCTTACAGTGGGACTGTGATGAAGTTGCTGGATGGATCGARTCTTTGGGATTTCCTCAGTATAAAGTAGGCCAACAATGCCCAAATAACATGATCTAAATAGAATAGATTTCTGTCACATGTTGTTCGTTCCTATTGCAGGCTTGTTTCACTGAGAATTTCATCACAGGAAGAAAGCTCATTTATGTAAACTGCAATTACTTGCCACGGCTTGGAGTGACGGACTTTAAAGACATGCAGGTAAAAAAAAATAGGATGTGGAAATTCTAAATGTGAACAGGACGGATCAGGTTGTTTTTGAAACACTTCCTGTTAACATGATATGTTTCAGTAACATCAATTAATGTCAGTATTGTTGCTTAAAACACAAGTCAAACCATTTCTGTTATAATCTTTACAACCACATACAGGACCACCTCAGTGTGCTCTGAGTGAACCGTTTGACTCAGAAAACGGTGCCAGCTTGGTACTGTCACACATCCTGTTTGGTGCTCGTTCTGTGAACAGTGTGATATCCAATTAAAGCTGTTTGTTGTAATTACAAGCATCACCATCAACCACTGCTCCAGATCACTTATTATGGCCTACATTACTGTATGATTTACATCTCTACAATGGGTTTCAATTAAAGTGTTTTTAGTTCTGATCAACAGTTTCGGCTTTTGCCAGTCTCTGACCTGACACTGAAGTTTTTAGTCTTTTGATCTAATTTTTAAAAGACAAAATCCAGTTCCTTCTTAATCTTTAAACTTTTCCACATTTTGTCACGTTGCAACCACTAACTTTGAAGTCTTTTATTGGGATTTTATGTGATTAGAGCACAATTATGCCATGGACGGAAATTGATACACAGTTTTCAAAACTTTTTTTACAAAAAAAAATCTAAAAAATGTGGCTTATATTTGTATTCAGTGCTTCTGCATATTCTTTTATGCATCATAGTTGCAGCTCATCAGTTGGATGTATGAACAGTACTTTCCACAGATTCTCAGTTKGATTTAGGTCTGGACTTTACCTGGGCTATTCTAATACATGAAGATGATTTAATCTAAACTGTGTAGCTGCTGGAAGGTGAACCTGCACCCCAGTCTCAAGTCTTTCCCAGGTTTCCCTCCATTTTTAGCTCCACCCATCTTTCCATCAGCTCTGATCAGCTTCCCTGAAGGAAAGCCCCCCCACAGCATGATGCCACCACCACCATGTTTCAAAAAGGGGATGGTGGGAAACAGTGTAGGCAGCATCACAGTGATGTTAGTTTTCTAACACACACTGTGTTTGCATTTAGGCYAAAAGTTCAGATCATTTCTCCACACRTTTGATATGTCTCCTACAAAGTGTGGCAAATGTCAAACAAASCTTCTGTCTACCAGTTGTCCCATGTACGGGTTGTCCCACCTGAGCTGTAGGTCTGCTCTCCTGTCAGTTTAGGTGGGAGGTCGTGTCTCAGTGGGTTCGCACTCGTGTCATAACTTTTTCATTTTAAAATGATGGACAGAAACACGGGCGGCTCAGTTAGTAGAGCWGYTGCCTCTCAGCAAGAAGGTYGCYGTATCAAATCCTGGCGCAGGACCTTTCTGGGTAGAGTTTGCATGTTCTCTCTGTGCATGTGTGGGTTTTCTCTGGGACCTCAGTTTCCCATGTTAGGCTAATTGCTAACTCTAAATCGTCCCTAGGTGTGAGTGAGAGAGTGAATGGTTGTTTGTCCTATTTGTCTCCATGGTTCCTTGTAATGGACTTGTGACCTGTCCAGGGTCTACCCTACCCCTCACTCAGGTGCAGATATGGACACCAGTGTCCCCCATGACCCTGATAATAAGGAGCAAGCAAAAGAAAATGGATGGATTCATGGATCAATAGGACATTAAAAAGTTTGTGCTTCTCCTGGTCCTTTGAAAATTTTGTAATTTATTTTCTGAACTCATACATCATTCATTCAAACTTCTCAGCTACTTAAGATTTGGATTAGTCTCTACAGTAAGAGTAAAAATTAAGAACAAAACATCTGGACTTTTATTCTGGAGCTTCAGGACCAGACCTCTATCCTTTTCTTTCTGCTTCACAATTAGTCTGTTACATAAATACTTTGAAGTTTGGGGTTGCAATATGACAAAATGTGGAAAAGTTCAAAATACTTTTGGAAGGCACTGAAACTTTGAAACCTCTCTTCCAGTTATCCAACAGTTCTGATGAGCGATCCTCTCTGTAACACATTCAGACAGTGTGTAAATCCTGCTTTATCAAAGACCTCAACCCCTGCCGTGCATCCCACAGATCATCTCTGCTCGTGTACGTGAGCTGCTGGGGATCACAGAGACCCCRTGGAGTCGCAGCATCGCTGACCCTCGCCGGAGCGCCGCGGCCCTGTTTCTGGAGCAGAAGAGCCGGACGGGTGAGCGCGCGGACCGCCTCACCTACTCAGCCGTTCCTGCAAGGATTGCATCAGTGAGAAGCCAAATGTGAATCACAGCAGTAAAGGAGCAAAGCAAAGTCATGTCAGTGTCATTTCAAATCACACACTGTCAGCAGGCGATGATGTCGATGAGACACTCACAGCGTATAGGTCACAAGCAGGCCTTGATATTAGCACGTCCAAGCAGCATAATGGGAGTTTTGTTGCAAAACAGGAAAAACCTTTTCAATGGGTTTCTGCTGGCTGTCAACACTATGAGAACAAATACACAGTAGCTCTAACTCGATCAAATGTGCAGATATTGACTTGAAATTTGGTGAGGCAGATCCCTAACACATGCTCTGAGCACTGACTCAAGGTCTTAGTTTAAAATTTAGCCAAAAACTGTTTGGAGTTAACGCTGTCTTTTAGCAAAATGTCTCATGAACCACCAGAATGATTTAAATAAAACATCAAGGAAATATTGTAATTCTAGATTGAACAATGAACTGATAAACCTTTGTTGCCAAATCCATTTCAAGATGGCCGCAGTAGCAAACTGACATTAAAAAAGGCATTAATGGTAACTTGAGTTTTTTCCTCTCTACTGCCAGTGTTGTAGAAAGTACCACAAAGTGATAAGTAAAAGTACAAGTATCTTACCAAAAAATTACTTTGGTAAAAGTTAAAGTCTCCTTTATGAATATTACTTGAGTAAAAGTCTTCAATTCAATTCAATTCAAAAATACTTTATTGATCCCAGAGGGAAAAGTATCTGATATTTTTTGTACTTAAATACTGATTTAAAATAAGCAGTTAGATTTTCTGTAATGACAATTATTAGGAGGTGACCTCGCCAAAAAGTGCAGAAATGACTGTCATATTAAAATAATTAATTCATGTTAAATTTAGGATGCATTATTCCAGCTGTTTCAGTTTATATACATATATCAAGGCCCAAACCTTTTCCCCAAAATAAAAATCTATCTGAGGGCTGCAGCCAAATGCAATAACATGAAAAACAAATACTTCTTAAGTACATTAATTTCATTTTGATGATTATGTCCTGCAGGAGTGTGACATGATTTGTTTGTGTACAAACAAACTAATACGGGATCAGAATTTTATATATTTATACTTCTCATTCAAACACAATTAATTTCACTCTATCTAGGAAGCACAAATTATGGTTAGTATTTATTTTTTACAATAACAAACTGGAATGAAAACAAGCAAAAATGAAATAAAAGTAATGACTTTCCACTTGTCATTTTTTTTTATAAATGTAAGGAGTAGAAAGTACAGATAAATGTGTGAAAATGTGAGAAGTAAAAGTAAAAAGTACGCTGAAAAAGAATTACTCAAGTAAAATACAGATACCCAAAAATTCTGCTTAAGTTTAACAAAGTATTTGTACTTAGTTAATTTACAACTCCGTCTACTGCTATTGGTGTGCTGCTCAGGATGGGAGAGACGAAGCGAAGATTCGGCGCTGTCTGCTGGCTTCTTTAGATTTTTTGTTTTTCGTACACAGTGCCCTGAGACAACAATTGTTGTGATTTGGCKCCATATAAATAAACTGAATTGAATTGAATTGTGTGTCTGTAGCTGAGAGTCATTCACAACACATACTCATGATGCTTATTATAAAATTAGACTAAAACAGCTAAAACTCCTTCCCACATAGTAAAACTTGGCTGGCCCAGTTCTGGCCCAAACTCATGCTAATACCCTGGCCCATTGGTAGCCCGGATCAGGTTTGCCAGAGGTAGTCCGTGCATGGACCAGGACCACATGAACCAAATTACAACAGGGCCAGTTTTGGCAATGACAAATTTGGCCCATATAAACCACACCACAACTGGGCCAGTTGTGGCACTGGCAGATTTAGGCCATGTAAAACAAATGACAACCAGGCCAGTGTGGCACTGGCAGATATGGGCCATGTAAACCAAACTACAGTACAAACAGGTTAGTTGTGGCACCTGCAGATTTGGGTCACATAAACCTAATGGGCCAGTTGTGGCACTGACAGATTTGATCCACGTGGACAAACCACAACGGGGCCAGTTGTGGAAAGATGTTCCAGAAACTTTCCTCATTTAAGTTCTGCTCAAAACATCTCCTKTTCTCACTGTTGTGACTGGAGTGGGAATCCTCAGGAGTGGTTTCAGGCAATGTTCTTGTAAATAAAAAAAGGAAGTGTGGTGGGCCACTCACCATATATTGCACATGTGCATATTGTTTCATTTTGCCAACTTGCACAAAAGACTTTAAAGACTGGTGAATCAGATATAATGATAGGCCTGGTGCCAAGTTGATCCAGGGGGAGTTTGATCTGTCTTTTTCAGCCAACTCAACTCTTTTTGGCCCAAATT